TGTGTGTGTGTGTGTGTGTATGTGTGTGTGTGTTTTCTATATCATGTGTGTCTGTGTGTCTCTTTATTACTTCTATATATTTTTCTCTGTCTGAATATGTATCATTTCTCTTTTCTTTCACCTATTTATGTGTGTATGTGTGCGTTTGTGTTTGTGTTTGTGTATGTATGTTTGTGTGTATGTGTGTGTGTTTGTGTGTGTCTACTTGTCCATCTGTTTATCTAAAACGCTTTCAATAATGTGACTGCATCAGTATCTTTCTAACTTTATAGGCAGCTTAAACCTTAATACCCAGTGCACATTGGCACGATCGATTCGGTTCGGTTTGGTAGGGTGGCTAGCCAGATTGAGAGCGCAAAAAGACCATCGTGGCACAAGCCGCGAGTCGGGCAATCGGTTGGCGATAGGTTTGTATTAAAGAACCGATCTCCCAATGGGCACCGAGAATAATGTGTATCAAAATTCCTATTGATTTGTTCGTGACCACCGTTGTTAAACTTCCACGGGCCAGATGTGACGATGTCATTTGCCTTTATAATGACCTTTTTTTGGCCAGAAAACTGTTTGCGTCTTTTTGCTGGAATCGCCACTAGATGTATGAACTATTCATTTTGCTTTGGGAACGGCTTTTTTTTAAACACATGTATTTCCAACATCAATTCAAATAAAATCCATTGGCTACATCGACATTGCCCAGAATTATGAATATTCGTCCTCTCATTAAATAGTCACCATGTTCGTTGTAACAGAGTAGCTGAAAATAGTCTCTTATCGGGTTCAAACAGGTTTTGATTTATCAGACTGTAATGGCGGCGGTATTGGTTGTGGCAGTAGCAGTAGCGACGAAAGTGGTAGCAGAAATAAAGACAGCAACAGCAGCAGCAACACATGTATTAACGTATACATCAGCTATTGAGTTCGACTTTCTCAAACACAAAATTCGTAAGATTAAATGTCAATTGTTTTCACTGGGGACGGGCGAGAATCTTATGCAACGTCATTTTCCTACCTTAGAATTACAAAGTTCTATGTGACACTTATGACAGTTTTGAGTTGCTGAAGCCATGGTGTCAGAAACCAAATGCTCTCTCTCCTCCCTCAAAATCGTTATATTATTTGGAGTTGTTATCAAGATATTCTAAAAATTGCGTCTGAAAAAAGCTATCCTTGTTGTTATCTCAAAATTTTGAACGTCAAATTTCTCTAAACTATAGATAATGAGCAGAAAGAACCTTGCGTTTTGTGTTCTTCGATTCAGATCGGGTAATGTTAAATAATTGTCGTTGGTTTCCAGTTACTTTTAGTGGGCGGCCTTCTTTTTTCAGTAAGTTCAGCAAAATCAGTTTAGTATACACCCTTATTTACCAGTGTTTGGGGAGTAAGGGTAATTAATAATAATAATAATAATAGATAGCATTTGTATAGCGCATATCCCCGCTCAACAGCAGGCTCTATGCGCTTTACACTATATTATTACCCCAGCAGACCATAGAGCACTCCGAAACATTCTCAGCTTCCCGGGAAACATAATTAGGCGCTTCGGAAGACGTCAGTTCGATTCCTGGGTGAGGAGGGTTTTATCTCGCATCTCCGTGTGTCTGCTGGGCCTGTAGATCCATCTCAGCCCGAGTTGGTCCTGGCAGACAGAGTCGAAGCGGCCCGCCT